AGCCATATCAGTTATCATATCAGGTGCTCAATCATGCAAATTAATTCGCACTGTCCACTGTGTTGTAAGCAGCCACGTCGGCACAATATAAAACATCTTCAAGTGGGCTTTTACTATTAATGACACCGTTTTGACATACGGATTGATCTACGCACTTTAATATCCTGACTTTTCGCAAAAAGATGTTCTCAAAATTAATTGACCTCATTTATCATCACTACACGGGCAGTGGATGTTCCCCGCAGCGTGTAGGCAGTTGCCTGCTTTCTTAGAACAAATCTACCGCAAATTAATTTATACGGATTTCGCAAGCAAAAGGTTTCTGTGAAGGAACTAATTATTTGCGTTTAAAAAGAAGACATTTAGGCAGTCTTGGAATTGCATTCAACTATGCGTCGAAATAAAGTCGGTGTGTTTCTTAATTTTGCAGGGATGCTTAGTGTCCACACATGTTCGGCAGTTTGAAAATCAAGAAAATCTGTAAAATAGTGTTCTTTCTCAATAAAGGGATATGACTTGCAAAATTATTTACGACCAAATACCTCACGCCTTCATGCATAACGTTGTATTATAGATCGCCTTCCCGCTAGATTTCCAACAAACTATTCTTGTCTATCAGATCTAAGAAAGCAATCGACAACTATAAAGCATGGGAAAATCAAGATACCAAGAGTTATTTTCGAACATTGGGGCTACTCTCTATAATCTGAGGTCCTCTTCAAAGTACAACCTGATTGCGCCAGCCCTTTCAGGTATTATTTACCATAAATAAATGTGGCCTCATGGATTGTTAGTCTTGTTGAGTTTGGGCCAAAACTGGCGGCAACAACTGCTGCCTTTCAAGCGGTTCGGAGACCTTTTGCTAATCACCAGCATATTATACAGGTGTATGACTTGTTAGTTTTTTCTCTAAGACGCGGGATTAGGAACCCTGTGTCCTTTCCTTACATTCCATAAACTCTGACTGTAAACATAGCCTAGCACTAATCCTAATAGCAATCCTAACATCCCTAGAAGGTAACGCAGGAACAGGCGCATTATGAATGGGATGCCTCATAAACCTGCCCTTTACCTCCCCCTCCATGGTGGTTTCCTTGGGCTGGTCATTCTCTGTCTGACTGGTGTATCCTGACCGCATGGCAAATCTAGGGAACGCCTACGCTCGCAATTTGTATTCTAGTTAGAGCCGCAACTTGCATTCTCCCTATGGCTGATGATGTCACCGACTTCTTAATGCTTTACCCATCAGTTTTAGCGTCAGAAATGCAGACTGCACAAAGAAGGGGTACCTGAACTGATAACCCGGGCCTAGTTGATCGTTAGGTCAACCGCTCCACCAGGCGCATTATCAAAACTGGTGCTGCCATACCTCCTCAGGTATATTTATATTTTGCATCGTCCCTTTTAGGGTATGGGTGCGCTTAAAGAGGCTTTTTAAAGAACACGGATATTTATTTGTCACACGTGCAGTAGAGACAGTAAATAAAATGTAGATATGCGTTTCATCAAATTTGTGTCGTTGTTATGGGGTTTGGCTCAGTAGTGGATGCCTCTGAGACAGCCTGCATTTTCTGGTATGTTATCATTCCATTTTTTTAATTATAAGGCTTTTTAAGTTAAACAGAAACAAATGTGTTAATTTGAGGTTTGAAACAAATCTATTCCGGTTCGGTCCAAGAGTTATTTAATGTTTGGGCAGAAATACATCAATTGCAAAAGAATAATAACGTGGGGTATATAGTCTGTTTATACGCAGCCAGTATTGTATAAATATAAATTGAGGTTATTTATCATGTCTGCTGTAGACAAATCTCTATAGGGCTCTGTATACTGTCACCTTCCCGTTAGTAGATTGGGAATACCGCGCGAGTATTCAGCTAGCGGCTAAAATTTGGCTCAAATATGCATATAACTATTCGGTTTGAGGATTGGCAGACTTTTTTCTCGACGACTTTAATCCCAACTAAGGCTTTACGTTGCAGTTAAGTTTAAAGGCTTGAGTTGTAAATGAGTTCTCTACGAATTCTTAATTTAAATTTATTTTCCGGTTTGCTCGTTGTTAAGCTGCCGTCGCCGCGTAACTCTGCACATGTGCTCTTAAATCACCTATATTCGGCCGCCTGGCAGTCGGAAGTCATCGGTTTTGTCAACTTCGGACCGCTGGAAGCCACTGTTTAAATGGGGCTTGCTTGAGGTCGGACGGCACTAATCAATTTCCTGGAGTTTCC